CTCCATCCCAGTTCCAACAGACCTGGAGCTCCCTCACATAATCATTTCCTGTGTCTCTGAAAACCCAACTCTACAAGGAGACCCTATGTAGTCCCCTCCCCATCACAACACCCATGAGGAAAAACAGGGAGGTCACAGGGCAGTCACCAAGGAGAACAAAGGCATCCCAGAAGAGTCAGGGAGGGCAGACCTGAATCACATTCAAAGAGCACAGGAAGCTGGGGAGAGGGGTGTCTCCCTGGGGCTCTCTATAGGGAGCTGAAGCAACAGTCCTCTTTCTAGGACACAGGTCACCTCCTCCTGCACACAGGGATGTGAACCCCTGAGATAACTTGTATCCCTGGATCAGACACCTGACTGATGAGAGCAGTGACCATGGATCTGGTCCCTCCCCAGTCAACACACAGACAATTTCCAGCCCCTAGAAATAACTGCCACTACCTCCTTGGAGTAACTCCTACTTTCCCAGAGTGTTGAGATCACAGGGCAGACTGGGCTCTGCTGGGTTTTTGTATCACAAGGAAATACACTCTTGGCTATAGGAAGTGCAGAGATAAGGCCCTGGGGTAAGCTGCTGTTCTCTAGGGGCACAGGACACTTCCAAACCTTGTGGCTCAAAGTATGCTTTAGAACACAGAACCAGAAAGAAAGAAATAGAAAGAAGGGGGGCAGCACTGACACACAGACTCCACCCCCAGCCCATGTGACTCCAGGAGGCGTCCTCCTCTGGGAGGAGGCTAAGGAAGAAAAGCAGAGCAAACACCAGAGCAGCCAGGCTTGGCAGCAGCCTGACAGACAAACCTCCTGTCCAGAGGAAGAGCCTAGGCCACAGCAGAGACCATGGAGCTCTCCTCAACCCCTCTCCACAAAGGGCAGCTACCCTGGAGGGGACTCCTGCTGACAGGTGAGGAGACATTCCTCAGGGGTGTGGACAGTAGAGGAGCTCAGAGACTGGATGGGGTCTTCTGGGAGGGGGACTGTCCTGAGAGGAGACATCTGGCTTCTGCTTGAAGCCTGAGAGCAAAAGGAAGCTCATAGTGAATGTGAATTGGTAAGTGGGGAGGAAAACCTCAGGGGTTCCCCACAGTAAGTTTATCAGCACTGGCCTCTGTACCCTGAAGACTGACTTCCACAAATGTGTCAGGGTAACTCTCTAAGTGAAACTCAAACTGGGGCCAGTAAACATGGCCAATTCATACATATGACCCTGAGGAATCTGCACATAAACCCCAGGCTCTGGGACAGTGATTTGCTCACAGGAGTCTGAACCTGTTCCAGGCAGTGAGGTTTAAATAAAAATCAAACCAGTTCTCCTCACAGAGTCCTGGTGCTATGAAGCAGGAAGACAGAGCAACAAGGACATCTAGAAGGTGGGGTTGGGATTGACAAGGACTTCAGAAGAAACAGAGCTGGGAAGTCAGAAAATGAAGGCTGGAGTCTTTAGAGGAGGAGGTCAGAGAAGACATGCCTACACTCACCAAAGATTCTGAGTGTGAACAGGGATCTGAGGGAGTGAGGGGTGAGCTGTGCAGACACCCAAGAAAACAGTTTCATTCACTTGGAAAGATTCAGGGGTACTGAGATATGGGGGTGATGATGCTGACCTCCCCCCAATAGGACACGCACACCAAGGCTGAGAGTTGAACACACCCAGGTCTCAATTTCTACCAAATGCAAAGATCTAATATTGATAGATTTTTCTCTCTTCCTTCTTAGCCTCACTTTTGATCTACTGGAGCTCTCCCACCACGGCCAACGTCACTGTGGAACCAGTTCCGCCCCATGTTGCTGAAGGGGCGAATGTTCTTCTACTTGTCCACAATCTGTCAGAGACACCCCAAGTCTTTTACTGGCACAAGGGAGAAAATCCGGATAACAGTAATGAAATTGCACGATTTATAACGTCAGATAATGTAAATACAGCAGGGCCTGCATACAGTGGCAGAGAGACAATATACCCCAATGGATCCCTGCTCTTCCAGAACGTCACTCAGAAAGACACTGGAGCCTACATGTTGCGAATGCTAATGCAAAGCTATGATGATAAGAAAGTATCCGTGCAGTTCCATGTCCACCGTAAGTAATTCTCTGTAACCTCTGGGTCATGGGTAGACTTAATCCTACTTCACACATAGAATTGTCAGTGCTGGATGACTCTGTGTTATGGTCCCCACATTGTGGTTCATCATTTAGTAAAGGACACGGAGTGGAGGAAACAGCAATAAATCAGGATCCCTAACTTGAATCCACCCTCTGAGAGAGAAGGTGAGGTAACTCAGCCCAGGCATCTCAGAATCTGCCCAGGGTCTTAGATGCTCATCATGAACATGGCCTTAAGAAAGACTCTTCAGGACACAGGCAGGGCCTGGCTGAGAAAACCATGAAATTCTCACAGAGACATGAATACCTGGAGCTTTGCTCCAGACCTCCATCCCAGACTGGACCAGGAATCCTGAGAAGCTTGTAGACTGGGTTTGAATTTGACCTCCTGTTGGAACTGACAGGGGACAATGATTGATTGTAGGCTGGTAGTCTGCTGACCGTCAACCTGTGAGAGCCATGTCTGAGACAGATCACGTGGGCATCTCCTCCTGAGACTCATTATGCTCAGCATAGGTGGAGGGGTATGAAAGGCAACCAGCCGGGTGTCCTGATGGTCTTCTGAGTCCTCAAAGGAAGGCGGAGAGCCCTAAAGAGATGGGAGAAAAGTGTACAAATGGCAGGTCCTTGCCTCTGGGGGTTCAGCCCTGGGATTATTACCAGCAGGCAAATAGTAAGAGACACTGCTTGGTGGAAGGTCAGGTCATTGCTCACATTTCAGGTGAACTTGTAGGCAATGATCATTTACCCTGTGCCCTATTCTAGGGAAACTGAGACAGGAAACACAGTCGGTGAGTCAGGGTCACACAGGCCATGGGTGGCACAAGCTATCTGTCCACAGCCACATCTCCAGCCTCCCCACCATGGAGACTCTATTAGGTGCCCCTGAGTCTTATAGTTCATTTCCTAGACTCGGGCTTCTTTTATGATTCCCTGATTCATGTCAATCAACATCAAACTCCTGACAAGAATGGCCCATCTGAAGCCCAGCTTGACCTGAATGGCAACCAGATCCTGATCTGTGTGGGATCTCTGACGGGCTGTCAGGTTCTCAGGGAAGCTCAATGTGAAGACTAATCATGACCTATCTGTAGGAGAGCCCTGAGCAGCAAAGGCTTGGAGGGCGCTGGTCCTCACTGAGCAGGGGAGATCAGGGCAGCTGGAGGGACTTACACATTGTGTCCCAAGACATGCAATGCATCAGTGAGGACCAGGAGATAACATGAGGTCTCTGATTCCAAGTCTCGAGTCTGTCCATCACCACACACTGCAGCTCAATTCCCTCCTGGGAAAGCCCTTGCTTCTCCCATACACAACACAGGAGACCCCATTGTTTCTGAGAGCTCAGCTACTCCATCTGCCTGTAATTTGCTTCCTGCATGATTCTTTAAGGATCTGGGTTTGTGGGGAGCTAAGAGACCATCTCAGAATAATCAGAATCTGGAGTAGTGCAGAAATCTGG